TTCTAATCTGCAGATTAGACTAGTGTAATGCACTCTACATGGGGCTACCTTTGAAATTGATGTGGAAGCTTCAAGTGGTGCAGAATGCAGCAGCCAGACTTCTCAGTGGGATGAGAAAATATTAGCATATATACCCCACTCTGGTTGCCTTGCATTGGCTGCCCGTTCATTTCCGCATTGATTTCAAAGTATTAATGATGACATATAAAGCCCTAAACAGTTTAGGACCTCAATATCTAGTGGAAAGCCTCCTCCCACCTAGATCTATCTGAACCACTCGTTCTAGCCAAGAAGGGTGGCTGAGGGGCCTAACTCCTAGAGAGGCCCGGAGAGAAAGAACAAGAAATCGGGCCTTCTCGGCGGTGGCACTTTGCCTTTGGAACAGTCTGCCCCCGGAGATCTGTCTGGCTCCCTCGCTGGATGTTTTTAAGAGTAAACTTAAGACCTGGCTCTTTAGGCAGGCTTTCCCTCCTGTCATCACTTTAATATTGTTATTTTCCCCCATCTTGAACAATATTGTTACTGTTGTTTTTATTTTACTATATTGTTTTTATTCCATTTTTAATTCCGTTTTACATGAGATATCAAGAACTCTCCAGATGAAGAATGCATCACATATTCTGAGAATACATAATGTACCAGAAACTCAAACTGAAGACCTCTTAGAAGTGACAACCAATTTATTATCAGACTGGGCAGACTGTGAGAAGGATGAAATTAAGTGGAATATAGATGCGGCCAGAAGAACCTCCTCAGTATTTATTTTAAAAAATCATCTCCCAAGATAAATCCAAATTAGATTCATTAAAACCACATATAGATTCAAAATTCTGAAAGCAACGCAAGACAAGCAAAGAGAAGGAAGGAATCTGAAGACACTGAAACATATCCCTTGGGAAATGAGAAATAAAAGGAAAAGTATATGAGACTTAATATGAAAAATATTGATCTGTAATGTATCTGTTCAAATCCACCTCCTCCGAGGGTACCCCATCCCAGCTGTCCCTTAGCTCACTGGTTCTTAACCTTGGGTTACTCAGGAGTTTTGGACTGCAACTCCCAGAAGCCTTCACCACCAACTGTGCTGGCTGGGGTTTCTGAGAGTTGCAGTTCAAAAATATCCGAGTAACAAAGGTTAAGAACCACTGCCTTAGCTTACCCTACCTTTATAAAGAAAATAAAAAATATTTTTAAAAAGAATATTCCAGAGCTTAAGCACATGGTACCAGAATCTCTACCCTTAACCCCACCCCGGCACTGAGTGCTTCAGTTCCATAAAACAGTCCACTGCTGCCCAGCATGCAAAAGGCATACGTGACGGACAGAGGGGAGGATGGGCAGGAAGTGTGAATTCACAGATGGCCACTCAAAAAACCAGAGTTACATGTAAGTAACCTCTTTTCTTTCTTTGTGGTCTCTGTAAATGTACACTAATGGGTGACTAACAAGCTGACTTACCCGGGAGAGGGACGTCACGAGAGCACAGATGTCAGAACAGCATGACCCACAGAGGCTTCAGCCTTGGCCCAAACGTCAAGTCGATAGTGGGTTTCAAAGGTTGATGATGTAGTCTATGTGGCTGCTTTGCAGATGTCAGACAGGTCCACACCTCTTAGGAATGCTATGGAGAAGGCCGTAGCCCTCGTCGAGTGGGCCCTCATGGTGTGTGGTAAAGGCATCTGGGCAAGATGGTACATCATTTGAATAGTTGAAATGATCCATCCAGAGATCGTCTGCAATGCCGATACCCTGGAATGACCTTGATAGCTGACAAACAACCTCTTTAAAGTGTGGAAGGATGAGGAGCAAGAGACGTGGTAGGAGAGTGCCCACCTTACGTCCAAGGAGTGCAAAGAATGTTCAAGACGGGCTTCACCCTTTCTCTGTCTGGACCCGTGGAGCCCTTTGATGCTTTTGTATATATGTCCACCAAATGGTGGATTTGATAAGCTTTGCATTAGATCTTCAGAAACGGAATGCCCCAACCTCCCCTTTGAGAAGGTTGATAACACTTTTGCTGCTCTGGGATTTTTATTAAAGATAAATACTGTACTTCCATATTTCTGTGCCATGTTTGTAACACAGTGTCTTGCATTTTCGGTGGGAGAACATTAAAAAGAAAAGTGAACTGGGGAAGAAGCATTATCTTAACTGCAAAAATAGAGCTTTTCCAATTTTTCATTTCTGATACCATGAGTCGCCAAACATTTTGATAATTATATCTAAATAATCAGTTGCGGCTTTTAATAACAAAGACCTTTAGACATCTGAAACCTTTATTGGTAAGGAGAATGTGCAGTTTCTTAGAAAGGGAGAGTTGGCAATTAGGTGGTACATTATAGCCCATTAAATCGGATTTACCAAAATTAACTGACAATCTGGCACCATAGTGAAATCTTCTAATTCCTTTAATACATGGGATACCACCTCTGTATAATTACTTAACCCTAAAACCTTGTTATCCACAGACAGGCTGATGAGATGAGTTGATCCTGCAACACTCTTGAATAGCTGCATTTGCCCTCATATGAGCCACCAACAACTTTACTACCAATGTGAACAACATGGATGATAGTGGACATTCTTGTTTAGTTCCCCAAAATATAGAGAATTCCATAGAATCCATAGTGAGTCCAACTGAGATAACATTGGGGAATAAACTCATCACATGACAGATATAAATTTAGGGCTGAATCCCCCAAGTTTTAGTGAATTAATTTAAAATGTCCAATTTATGCTGTCAAATGCTTTGTACAAATCTAAGACCACTAAAGCCAATGGATAATTTGTTTTGTTTTTGCTGTAGTTGATTCCAAATAACCATCTTATTGGATCAGAAATATATCAGCCTGGCATGAAGCCAAACTGGTCACTGTATGTGTTTCATCCTCAATATTTTTAGGCCATTAGTCAAAACAGCAGTAAAGATTTAATAGTTACAGCTTATATGAGTTCACCTGTAGGGGTTCTTTCATGGTTTCAAGAGTCCTATTCTTTAGGAATGTTAACAGGTCTCAAAGAGTTGGCATCCATCCAAGATAAATTATTCTCTAAGGAGACAAGCACTAACAAACCCAAGAGTTCAGTTGCTTTTGAAGGAACAGGAAAATAACATATGACAATTTCTTCCTGTGTGCAGAGCTGGACTAGTCTTATATATGGCATATTGGTCCTCTATGGCTAGTGTTTTTCAAGAAGAAACTGAAAGAAAAGTGAAAATTAAACTGGGAATGTGATTAATGTTTGTTCCAATTTCCACAGAGAAGTGCCTTATTTTTTCTATGTTCTGAATGTTATAAATGTGTATATAATATTTGTTAGCCACGTAGTGCTTGTGGCTACTTTGAGCTGTCATAATGCCCAAACACCAGAAGATTAGTGTGTGGCATCACTTCAGTAGACACACTGTAGGAAGAAAAACAATTGGTGAATGTAAATATTGTGAGGAGGAGTATTTTAACAATGCAAGAAGAATGAAGAAGCATCTAACATGTAGGAACTGTCCTGAACAACAACAACAACAACAAAAATACAATACACCTAAAAAAAGGTACTATGAAAAGGTGGTAGAACATCATCTGAGAAAATCTACCTCAGGAATCCTATGTAAATAAATAAATTAGTATCTTAAACAATTCTGAAGATCAGCAGAATTGTTTTAATATTTTTTAAATAGTGGAACTTTAAGGGTATAAAGCATTTTAAGGCAACTCTCTGAGTCTGGCTGTTTAACTCATTTGCAAAAAAAGTCTATCTAAATATCCTGTTTGCACTAAAAACATTCCTATGGTGTGCTGCAGTAATTTTTAAAAAAATATTCCTAAGATATTCAGAGAATTGGAAGAAAATTTAACTGAGCTTTTGCTTCACCTCTATGCAAAAAAGACAGTAAAACAAATGTTTACTAATTGCTTTTGACTTCTGCTGTCATCTAGTTCCTCTTGCAGCAAAGCTTTTGGATCCTCAAGAGAGAGGGCAACATCTAACAGAAAAAGAATTATCTTCCGCATTCAATACAATTATGGATGTAGTTAAGAACATATCTGAGTCTGATACTTACACAGTAGCTGTTATGATTGACCTGCAGAACACTATAGAAACAAAATAATTTGGAGCAAAGACATTGTTGGGCAACCAGCAGAGAATTTGTCTCCTTTCATGTGGTGGAAAGAGTACTGCAACACCTGGCTGTTGTACAAAATTGCCATAAGGATTCTAAGCGTTCCACCAACAGCAGCTTCTTGTAAAAGGAAATGGATGGTTTTCAGTTCAATAAATAAAAAAAGAGGAATAGACTAACAATGACCACACTACTAGACTTGTTTCTATTTCTAAAAATTGCTTGCTTCTAAATTAAGCACAAATACAAGTAATCAAGACTAAATATAAGGTGCCTGTGGCCACAGACGTGGATCATCCTTTAGTGAAATGTAGCATTCAGCTTGTGGCAAAGAATCAGATTTTTTTCAGCTTGAAATAAAAATTAGTGCAGAGTAAGTGAGTGAAGCTGCAGATACTGTGGTTACACATCGGAAAAAGAAAGTTAAACGGTTGATATAAGATGTATCAGGTACAGCTGTCTTTAGGTATGTATTCTAAAAAATATTCTCTCAGGTGTAGACTAGCATATATTTTTGTTAAATATATGCTAGTCTTTACATTATTACAAATATTCCAATCAAATAATTTGTATATAAAACTTTGTATATGTTTTAATATATAATTTAAACCAAACATCCTAAATCAGATGACATTTTAAAGCAACCATTCTCAATGGGTGTTATATGGCCACGTGGGAGGCCCTGACATATTTAAAGGGAGCTACAAACTGGAAACAGTTCTTCACATACCATCTTATAAAGCTTGTTATGCAACATATACAATCCTGGTTGGGCATATATGACTTTCATATTGTCTTTATGGCCGTGCCAAAAGAATAGTTGAAAATGGCTGTTTTTAGAGCATGGGATATGAACTTTATGAAATTGTTTCCTTCACAGACTCCAATGAATCAAGCTTCTACTCGTTCACATTGCATTTTCACCATTCACATTTCAAGCAAAGAACCAGGATCTGCAACAATCAGACGCTCCAAACTGCATTTAGTTGATCTGGCTGGTTCAGAACGTGTTGGAAAGACTGGAGTTGGAGGTCAGCTGCTTACAGAGGCCAAATATATCAATCTGTCACTACATTACTTGGAACAGGTATAGTTGACCAAGTCCAGTTCTTCACTTTGGTATGACACTTTATTATAATATTTGGCATCTTGGCTCTTGAATTCAGAGAAGGGATATAATGTGGCTTATTGTGGTTTATCTGAGATAATAGTGTGATCAGTGTCATTTCCTTTGACCATTTTATTACATTGCACCTTCTAACAGAACTTATTATTCAAAGACAAATTTAATAGTGATTGTTGAAATGTAATAAGTCTGATGTTACTGTTCCTGGACCTAAGGGGTGCAGATGTATTTCATTGATGGTCTTAACAAAGCCTTCAAGAATTAGGTCTGAACGATAACAAAGCCTTCAAGAATTAGGTCTGAACTAATTTTTTGTTAATTGATACAAAGTGGCCTCACGACAACTCCATGTGAAAATGTGCATGAGATTTTATTTTCAAGAACCCTCAGGCTGGTTTAATAACCTACTTGAATGGCTCTTCCAAACTAGCAAGACCAAGTATGGTTCTCTTTAAACAATGAAGTTAGGGTTTAGCTGAAATTCTATGTGTTATTCTCGAACAAAACTTCAACTATATTTCAACATTGTTATGTAATGTATATTTTTATGTCAACATATTTGATTCTAATATTTTCCTTTTATGTTGTGTCCTGCATTTTTTTCATGAAAGTCTCTAGACTGAAACACAGCAAAGCTGTATTAAAAACTCTTACATAAGTTGTTACTATTATGCTTATCCCTGCTGTTTTCGTGAAATGTTTAATAATCTTAAAGAACATTAGCCATTTCTCCAACAATGCTGTTTAAAAAAGAGAGCAGCACACCTGCTGGAGAAAAGATTTTTAAAACTGTTTTGCTGCAGAGAGTTGTTTTCATAGCCTAGTAAATTTTAAAAGTGGTGGCAGACTTTTGTTGATTTGGAGTGCTCAGTGATTTTTTCCAGAAGTATATTTAAATCACATTTAAGTCGCCATCTCTGAGTACACATCAGCCAATTAGATAAACATTCAAAGAGAAAGACAATTACAAAATCAATTTACAGTGTGGTTTGTTTTCCTATGTGTGTCACACTGTTTCTTCCTTTGGAATAATCAGGATCTCCGGGCGCTGAAGCGGGTCAGGAGACGGCTAGAGCGCAAGTGGAGAAAGGACCCGACGGATTTCAATTGGATAGCTGTCAAGGTCGCTACTAGCCTTTACCTTGCCAAGGTAAAGGCTGCCAGTAGATCATACCTCGCTAACCAGATAAGCGAGGCGTCCAATCAGCAGGCGGAACTATTCCGTATAGTACGCGACCTATCCGGAATTGGTCTGGGTGATGGGCCTCCCCCTAGTTTTTCGCCAGACCAATTTGCAGCATTTTTAAAATCAAA